CAGGTCTATTTGTAGGGGGGTCGATTCCTACAAAAGGACACTCCCACGTTATGTGTGTCTGAGTGTGTGTGTGTGTGTGAGTCAGTTTTTTTGTTTGTAGCTGGCCTTCTCATGGTTGTTGTTGGGAAACATTTTACATTTTGCTGATTGTGGTTTAGTGGAAAATCCCCACTTAACTGCTAACATTTATTTTTTTGCTCCCCCCCCAACGTCAAGCAAGTTCTTTTCGATGTGGTTTCTATGGGGGCACGTTTCTGAAGGGTTGCTTGTCCAAGCCGGTGCCAAAGCGGCAGGTCTTCGACCCGGAAACCAGCTCCTGGCCAGAGCTTGCACAGCGCTTGCTCCAAAGAGCCCCGTCCCCAGACGAATTCTGTGTGCCTCAGTGGGGTAACAACAAGAATGGTAGTTTCCCGTTGGTTTTCTCTTTAAACCAGAGAAAAAGGGATATCCTCAAAGAAGGACACATCTACCCCTTGTGTCAGCAACAACCACACATGGCCTTTTTAGGCGAGTTTGTTTGAAAATAGATGGGTTCCACTGGTTGTAGCTTGGTTCTATTCATTTGCCAGCGCCATCGATTTTACCAAAAGGACACCTATGACCACAACCATTTTTTCGTGGAGGGCACAACTTATCACAACTTTCAGCCTCACTGCTCGCGTGCTTGGCCTCAGCCGGCCATGTTCCGAGGTCGGGCAAGGCCGTGCAAGGTCTCCTCCTGTGCCGGCGCTTCTGTGCCACTGATCGCTCAGCGCAAAAGGATGGCTCCTCGCCCCACGCCCATGGCGGCAAGCCCTGAGCCACGTGCTCAAAACCGGGTAGATGAAGGTTAGTAAGGGACAATCCCCAGCTATGAATAGCTGAGGATATCCGCCTTCTTTATTCCTTACATGGTTCTGGGTAGACCAGTTTAATACCGGGTTTTGAATATGACTCTGCTTTTCTACTTTCAGTGGTGATGATCCACGAGCTGCGTATGTGCTCTTGATGTTGAAGGTGGCTGTTGCATCTATGTTAAGACTTGAAAACGCGCTGGAAACTGCGAATTTGGCTGAGAGTAGATGTAGCCTTGGACATCAGAAGGAGATGAAGGAGGAATTGTAGATCGAATAGTAATTGAATGTTGGCATTATTTGGCATTTCTGTTTGCAGGATTGCTCATTTGCCGCTCTGCGCAGTCAGCGCATGTTGATAAAGTGAGTTGCCACTGGTGCTTGTCCTGCGCCTCAAACCCATCACCCGGCTCCCAAAAAGTGTCGGTCTCAGCCAGGTTGCGGTCTGCAACCCAAGGCTTTGTTTTGGGGGGATGTAGCCCCTCCTCACCCGAAGATTTGGCCGTGCAAGTGCCGGGTGGAGAATGGCCCATGGGTTTGCAACGAGTCGCGCTATCGCACTTCGTATCTCAAGCTGAGAGGGGCTGAGATCCTCGTAGCATGTGACGTTTTCCTCGCTCCGGCAACGCTTCACGCTTGCGAGGTCGGGAGCCCCGAAAAGTGTGTGTGTGTGTGTGTGCGTGTGTGTCGAGTCGTTTGTTGGAGTGCTGCTTTGCTGAGCGAGTCAAGCCTGTTGGACCACCAAACATTGGTCAAGGTGCAAGATGCCATCCATTCACGGGAATCCACTTTTACCAGAAGACCAGAAAATAAAGTATTGGCCCGAGAAGAAGACCCGTCAAGTACCTGAAACTCCAACTCAGTAGTGGGTGAACAAACCCTTGTTTAAAGTCAAATAAGCGCGATCAACAAAAGGCGGTTAGAAGTTGGAAGTATGTGTATTCCTCCTGAAGCATGAGGGTGATGCGTTGCTGTTTGCTGGCCTTGTGGTTTGTTTTGACCACAAAACAGGGGCAGTTGCCATCAAGTCTAATCGGCTAAATCTGGCTCGGGTTTCTTGTGCCGGTTTCTTTGTCTGGGTTGTGCAAAGTCAATCCTGAGTGATTCAGTCTGCTAGAATTTCCACATGTAGTCAACTTTGGAGCATTTTGCTTGGCTGTTAGGACTTTAACTTTTTGCCAACTAATGGGTTTCCACTAAACCACTAAAAGTTAAACTTTTAGCAGGGGAGCAGAAAGCAACCGAGTCAATGTAGTCTCACTTCCTAAGTTTCTGAATCACTTGAAGCTTTTTGGGAAGACCCATTTTGGGGGTAGCTACAAAGGTCAGACTTTTTTGGGCCAATCCGCTCGATCGGAAGTGAGTACTGGACTACGTAATTTTCAGATGAGGAACATCGAGATACCCCCTGTTGAACGACCCAGCCAACACAATCTTAGAAACCCAGAGTTCTGGAAAAGTGGGGCTCGCTTTTAGGGATCAACCAGTCCCACCATTCAGGCTCCCCTTAGTTGGTGGTTCGGATAGGTTTGGAATTGGATGTGAACCACCGGTGCATTGTAAAACCACTTTGAAAGCATCAAGCCAGCGGGCTCCAAAAAGCTGGTTGTCTAAACATGTTACTCGTTGGCCCAACCCTTTGCTCCCAAGAAGCTGTCCAAATGTCGACCGCGTTTTTTTTTGCTTAATCTTTCCTATTGGGCGGGTGTGTCCCTCAAGTGGTCTGATTCCCACCCAAAGACACCCCACATAAACAGGGGTCGATTCCTTTGGGACATCAACTACCCTTCTGTCTGCTAACATGGAACCCTCCAGAGAAATGGTCACCTTTAAAAGGAACCGTAGTCTTCCATGGCGACGTTTTCAGGTTTCTCACTATGATGACAGCTAAATGGGTTGAACATCCAGTCCATCCTAAAGCAGGCTTTTTACAGGAACCTTGCTGCATCGTCTACCTCTAACATTATATATATGTTGCTTTCTTCCCCAACAGCTGGAAGCTTTAGGGTCTCTGCCCAAATAAGCTCTGGGGTGGTTCAGAGCGGCTCCGGTCAAGGGTTCCGCATGGCTTCCAGGGCGGGGCATAACACTTGAGCTTCTTGGCAGTAGAATCCTCATCCTCCACCGGATTGGGCCAGAGCCTCATTTGGGCTCCTTCCCTCTCCCTCCCCCCGCCCCAGACCCTGTGACCCTTAGTGGCGTAAGCAAAATGATACGACATGGCAAATCACGACACGTTTCGGACGTGGCTCAATTGAGGGCGATTCCTGGTTGTTTTCTGGTGTTTCAATCGATAATCCGCTAAAATTCTGAACAATTCTCATCTCGCGAAGCACACTTCGACCAGGGAAATCCACCTGCTTTTTTCCAAACAGGAGACCACTCATCCCCAAGATTCTGAATACTTCCCATCTCACCAAGAACAAAAACGACCACGTGTGGCTCAAATCTCTTCTGCCTGTGGCATCCACCAACTTGCGTTAGCTCACTCCGCCTCGCGGCCTCGGAATCCGCAGGCGAGAGCCATGGCGGGTCGGCAGCCAGGCCTGCCCCTGCAGCCGGGGCCCAGACCGAAGCGCACGGTGAGGTTCCCAATTTGGGGCTCAACGAGTTGGCAAATTTTGGGCTAGGCCACATGTGGCCATGGTTCCAAACCGATGGGATCCAAAATATGTTGGGATCGGTGAATTCACCACTCGAACCGTTTAAACAGCCCCAAAGGCGTACATAATCCTCAAATCACCACTCCCTGAGTGGAAGACTCGCCACCAGCTCCAAGATTTGTTCCTTGCTTTTATGAACTTACCACAAGTTCAACTCCCCAAACCGGGGGTCTGGGAACAGCTTGGCCCACCTCTGTGTGCAAACAATATGGCTTTGGTGTTGGGGGACCCCAAACCTGGATTTTTCCGTGTTCCTTTTGGTTTCCGTAAGCCCACAAAACAAAAGGTACCAAATCCGACAATTGACACACACACACACACATCCATGGGTCAAAGCCCCGTACCCCCAGGGAACATCCCAATCCGCTAAAATCAAGATTTCCAATGTACATCTGATCTATTCGGGAGGGGCAGGGCGGCCATCATTGGGGAGAATTTATGGTTTTCCCTCAACAACCAGTGGACCAAGCAGGAGGACTTATTGATTTGTTCATGTCCCTTGGGGTGCACTCAAATTTTAACCGTGGCTCTATCGTGCCAAATGAAAATGGGCACCGTTGAATTCGGCCGCTCATCCTGGGACATGTGGCGCAAGGAGTGCGACAGGCTGGACGCTTGGAACCAACATGCCACTCCATTCAAAAGGGTCCCTGCACATTTGACGCATACCCATGCGTAGCCATGCGTAGCCATGCGTAGGTGCCGCCATGAGTTTCCAGTGGCTTCGATTTGATGTCACGCTTCATATGAATAGCTTGGTATGAGTTTTCTGGTTTGGGGCAAGTACGATCACTTTGATATATCAATTTGCACCTTGAAGTGGAACTGTAGGAAGTTGCAAAATATGTTTGAGGCCGGGGTGTTCGCATTTCTCCGATAGCCTGTTGCCTGGATTTGATGTAGAGAACCACGGATGATACTGTGGGTGGACGAAATCCATTTCGCACCACCGTTCAGAAACCCTGGAAGGATGATTCCCCTGTAATAAAATACCGACAAACAATGGAAGCCGATGGTTTCAACATGGTGCCGGATTTCGGCCATCCACAGTAGGGATTGGGTTCAATCCTCATGAAGGTTCATTTCTTGGATCCCTGAAACGTTGTGTTGTCCCATGGTTTCATTTCGTGGTGCGAACGGATTTTGACATCTTTCGCACGAGCTCGTGAATTCTAGGCTTGTGAAGCTGAACATGGCGGAGAAGAAGGTGGAAGTGAACGAAGATGCGAGCCTGAGCTGCGTTGGTGTCATGGATCATTTGACCAGTTAAAATCTGGGCAAGTGAGGTTAGTAATTAATTAAGGGACAGTCCTACCAGAATGCCATAAACAGATGGCCACCATTTGATTTCTTCACATTGGGTTGGGCACACCCTTTTAGTACCAGGTTTTGATTGTGACTTATTTGGTTTCCTTTTGGTCCCCCCCTTGAATACCAACCATAAAGGGGTTGACCGTCTTTGGAAACACCCAATCGGGAAACAACGTGTCTGGCAAAATCTTTGGGCGCTCCAGGATCCATCGTATGTCGTTGGAATGTGCAGAAGCAGGGGTAGGATTTTTCATTTAGTGCTTTATACCTAAACGCAGAGTCCGGGTACAAAGAACCCCCGCTTTGGTAACCTCACTCACTGTGCCCCTGTGAACCGCACTACAAAGTTCCAGCACCAGCTTCTCCCGCGGGCTGACACGAGACTGCGGGAACACTGATTTTGACCACCCTGGCTTCATCTAGATGCAGGGTTGTGGGATCACTCGGGGTTTATCCAGCCACTTCTGTGATACTTTTCGGAATCTCCCCCTTTTAATTTTGGGGGGGGGGTAGTCTTTGGACCTCGCTGTTTTTATCACAGATTCGTGGGCTCCATTTCCTCAGGGGGGAACACCCCCCTCCAAAAGAAATGATACATCCCCAAAACTTAGGGAAAAGGGACACGCCAATATTACTACACAGGTTGGTTGATGAATAGGTACTGCCAGGGACAGCTTGGTTGCCTTGGGACGCCCATATTAATACCAGGAAGAAGCACCCCCGCTGGTTTCTTCATCTGGCTGTGGCTCAAAAAAAACGGTACCAAAATGGGTTGCCTTGGTAAGTGGAAACATGGACCAAAACCCGCGGCAAAGGCCCCTCCGATCGTTCAATTTTGAGCCACCATGGGGTGCTCTCAGGCTGGGTCGGCTGCAGAAGCGGCTGAAGGAACTGGGTGCCCAGCGCGTCACTCGTCGGAGACCGATGTTCCCAGGGG